CGAGCAAACAAGCAACCGCCACTGCGGCTAAACCAATGAACCCTAAAGAGGAATGAACCCTAAAGAGGAGTGACAGTAACAGAGTGGAGACATTCTGAAAAATGCAGTGCGTATAGTAACAGGCAAGGAACATTTTAACGAGTCTTGGAAAGGAGTAGAGAGGAGAGTGCTTTCGATTTCCTTACCAGGAGGTGTCCAGGATGGCCATAAAGATCAGAAAATAATGATACAGCATAGCACTTGCAAACTGCTTGAATGCACGTATAATAGCACTTGCAAATTTCAATGCCTTGAAAAGTGGTACTTGATAGTGCACTTATCTTTGCTCACTATCTAGGTAAACAGGTGCCGCATGAGCTATGCAATTTAAAGTGTTGACCCATACTAGACAAAACTGGACTTATGATATGACTTTTTTATATTTTTTTATACTTGAAATTAAATCTTTTGCTTCTTTTTTAAAGCGAATGATTGCTTTTAATGTTTGCACTGATTTAGTTGCATGATTAGTCAAAAAACTGCCATTTGAAAAAAATGTTATTTTTATAGCAGCAAAAAATGAATACAGTTAAATGTATTATACATAAATTTTGGAACCAAAGAGGCCAACATATTAGTTATAATTTTTATGAGATGGCAAAGCCATCATATCATGTAGTCATACTGAGCAATCCCTCACGAGGCCTACCAATTGTTTCAGGGTACAAAATGGATTCTGTTTGTTCTATTCAGTGTCTTTTCTATACCATACGCACATGGAATGTAGAGTGAAAAAAAAAAAAAGACTATTGTAGAATACATTACAATATGTGCATCCTTTAAATCCAATTTTTATGTTTATTTAATAAAGTTCCTTTTAGGTTCTGTTCCATAATAATTTAAACCAAACAATTTTCACTTAGATTTGCTGTTGGAAGTATTTTACATTTGTGTACAGTTTAAATAAATAAAAAGATTGAAAACTGGATGTGCTTTTCTTTTTTCTCCCCCCCCCCCCCTTCAGTGTGTAACATCTGGGGAAACTTGCCAGTTTCAGGACTGCATACGGCTGCAGACACTGAACTGTCGCATTAGACTGTAGTTGTATTAGTCACTGCAGAAAGCCTTGTCTGAGAGCTCAGCTGTGCTCCTGAAAATGTTACACTCCACTTTTATTGCTGTCTATACATGTAAGCATCTGCTTCTTTCTATCTGCATCCGTGCAGTGTCTTTGGGCAAAGGAACAGCGCTGTTCCGCATACCTGCAGATCATTTACAGCAAGTTCCTGGTTCACCTGCTGTGTAAGAATGTTAACTTCTTGTCTAGGTCACTCCCTCAGTGGTTACAAGAGGTAAAAAAATAATGTGGAAAGCACTTCCAGGAAAAAGAGGTCAATACTGTTTGATGAACTTTTTTCTTTTTAATTAGCTGGCACCAAGGAGAGGTTTTCTTTGAGTAAAATGCATCCCCTTTACTAACAAGGGATTACTAACAAACCCCAAAATACAGAAATTCTCAGCAGCTGTGCATGTATCTAGATATTGATTTCATTGATCTTCACAGATAAATTCTTCCTCCTGGAGACCTGAGCAAATGCCAGCTAAAGCTGACAGAAGGGCCTCTGTTGACTTAGCAAATGTTAGGTCTGACCCTGAGACCTGGAAAGTGTTGAAGAAGCAAGTTCATGCAGCAAATGATGGGTTCTAGTTACAATTCACATTCAAGCATAGCTCTGGCCACCCCTCCCCAAAGCCAGACACGAGTGAAATGACTGTTTCAGGAGACCTGTAGGAGCAATTTGCTGTGGCTGTGTCAACAACCTGCTGTGCAGAACTTTGTCCCCAGACCAAATGTTTTGAATATTTCATCGTTTTCTCACCACCTTGAACTGCACATTAATTGTCAAAGCTCTCTGCTCCACCTCTTAGCAGCCTTCTCCCTTTGTTCAACTGTGCTACAGATAAATTCAACAAATTCCCCTTGAAATCAGTGGAAAATAGATGTCCCTTCAGTCTGAAGGCACATTTGACCTAATATGACACTGTCGTTATGAACAAGACTGGGCTGCACTTTTAAAAATGAGATATATTGAGAAATCTTTCCCACTGAAATGCAAGGCCCTGGAGGCTGGGTCCGGTTAGGTTTCATTCTTAATTGAAAGTGTTTGGTTTCTGGAGTTGAAGCCAGGCCCCGCATTGGACACTGGGATTCCTGTTCTCTCCCAGGAGGAGAGTAGGGTGTCTCGGCATGGGATTTGTACCTGCAGTCCTGAGGAGTAGGGAGCTACTGACAGCCAGGATGCTATGAGCTTGGGTTGGCCAGAAACAAGCGGCAGGAATGGGCTGTGCCCTGCATCCCACTGCAAACTCACAAGCAACACCAGGAGCCTGAACTCTTTCAGGAAGAGAGCATCCCTTTTCTTGGTAAAAAGATTTCACAGCTTTCTTCCCCTGCCTTTCCCACTCAGCCATTTGCAGCTACAGCCCTGATATTCATGGGGCAGAAACAGAAATGCAAAGAAGAGCATGAATCAGTACGGTGTCAGGGGCATCATCAAGGAGTGGGAAAAGCTAGATCATGGTCCAGGTTCCTTTTATTTTGTGTGAAACGGCCTCTGGATATTGATTGTAACAGAACATGCTTTGAGTTTTCTGCAGTGTGGAGTCAGTGCTCTGGGTGTGCTGCAGGTAGTGAGGAATTCCTGAGTCCTGGTGCCATCAGCAACCTGTCACACAGATTTCTAAGGCTAAAATAAAATACATTTTAAAAGGTCTTTAATTTTGTGGGACCAATCTGAAACAGTTGGGCTTGATTTTTCAGAGATGTGGCAAGGCTAGTGCTCTTGCCAGCTTTTTGCAGGGAGCTGCAGGAATTTCACTTTCTCCAGCTTCCACCTCCTGCCTTTTTGAAATCAGGCAAAATGCAAGATGCCCAAGATTAATGGCTGCATTTTGAAAATGCTGGGGTTTATTTTCCCATCTGTCACTCCCATCCTTATAAAACTGAGCATCCAGTTTCACTGCCTTATGCCAGGTTAAGTACTGTACCTAAAAAACCATCTTGGTCTGGTCCATACCCTCCCTGAGGTAACTAGGTGTCCCTATAGTCTCTGATAGGCTTTGAATTTGGTCCTGTAAATGCTAAATCAGGGTCTTCTATCATGCAGAAGAATCAATCTCTGCAGCTGGAAAATGTTAGTCCTTTAAAATATTCTAATGCAGGCAAAACCCTGGTTCCAGTGCCTGGACCTCCCACTGGCATTAATGAGGATGGTGTGAACGGGGTGACTGTCATGATGTGGTGCAACAGAGCACTTGGTGGATTAACTCTGCATACATCATGTATTTCCACACATAATAGACACCTGCTCCAAAATTGCCAGCTCTCACCTTCTTTGCTTTGTTACTTGTGAGAGATGAAGTCAGCAGCTGAAATTAATTGCTGCACTCTCCCTGCCATGGGAGAAGAGGGAAATCCCTCACTGAATGAATCCTTTTCAAGACTAATTTTTGTTTGGAGTGGTTTCTACAGTGAAGGGCTGGAAAACATTTTGCAAAATGGATCAGAGGTGCAAACTTTTGCCTCCGAAGAGAGTCTGTTTCTGTTAATACTGGTGTTAGTTTGCAGTAGCTCCCCTAAGGTCTGCAGATATAATTCAGGCTAGCACCAAAGACACACCTGAATCTGTTTTTCTTGAAATCCTGATCGGGCCCAGCTCAATCCCAGTATTTCTAAAACTTCTTTTTCTTTTTTTGTCTTTTTTTTTTTTTTTTGCCTGCTTTGGAATCAGCAGGGCAGTTAAAATATTTTCCAAAACCCACAGATGCTGCATGACAGATCAGAAAAAAAGAGAAGACCCCAAACCTGGTCATGAACAGAGGAAAAATCTCTGGAATTTGGTCAGGAATTAGCAATCTCTATTGGTATAACATACCCCAGTAGCTTTCATTTGCTTGCCCAGTCAGTACCCTTGAACCAAAGCTGGATTTACCTGACCGCTTGTAATTTGAGGGGCCAATTTTATTTGGGTACCTTCATTGATTTCAGGGGAATTGTTTCTGATTTGTACTAGAATAAGTGGGAGCAGATTTAGGTTCTTTAATGTTCTTCCAGTTTAGCTCTTGGAATAACTTATATTTCATTATTATGTGTTTATGTAATTAGTGCAATTATATCAAATTATATAATTGGTACAATTACTTGGACTCATGTAACCACTGCATATAGCATTCCATGCTGTAAAATCTTTTACCCTGGAAAAAAAAAAAAAAAGTCAATATTGCATGGGAACCTTAATTTGTTTTTAAATTCCAGTATCAAATTTAGGGTCTGCCCACATGCAAGCAACTTCTGGTTCACATCACTGGAACCTCTCCGAGCAGGCAGCTTGCAGCCTTCATCATAGATACTGGGTTTTTAATCTGATTTGGCCAATTCTATTCAACAGAGGCCCTCCTTGAATGTGTGCAGCTCTAAACAGACTTTCTTGTACAAAGCAGAGATGTCAAGTTTTATACACATGCCATTTTAACCTGAAAGATCTCTGAAGCCATCAGAGATGTGAGATATGCATAGTTTCCTTGTACTTCATTAGGTTTACCATCTTTGTTATCTGCTGCTGAGAATTTTAAGCAAATACTTTTATTAAATTCATAGGCTTTCTCTTTTTGGTTCTTGAAACTGTTTTTTTCCCTTACTATAACCTGCTTTCAAGGTACATTTTTGTGAAAGCTTGGAAACAGTAAGGTCAGCTGAGTCTGTCTTGGACAAAGTAAGCATACCCAGCAAAACAGAAAAAAGGGCAAGAAGAAAACCTGAGAGGTGTATTGATTTCCCTAGGTCAGACATCACCATCAAGGAAGACCTAGGATGAGAGCTGTGTTTGCTGGCCACCTGACAGATCTCTCCTAGTGAAAGGATCAGCCCTCCCAGGTGGTGAAGCAATTCAAGATCTTTCCTGGCCCAAATGCAATCACTGAATCCAGCTGCAAAGCACACAGACCCCAGGTGAGGCACATCTCTGCCTAATGAGTGCTCTGCTGAGCCTTGCTGCTGCCTGCTCTTTCTCATTTTGGACCTTCTTTTGGAGAGAGCTCATCTTCTGGTGTGTCCTCCTGTAGACTGGTCTTTCAAAACAGGCTTGAGAGAGGCAGCTGCAGTTCTAAAATGGCTGTGTTGTAGTAGGCTGCAGCTAGTACTGCCTCACTGCTTTCCTCCAGCTGGTAAGTGTGCTCAGTGCCTGTTATTTTTATCTTGAGCTTTTGCTTTGTTTTGAGGATAATTGCACGTTATTGCTGCAATATGTTATAATAAGTGCTATGAAGATGGCTATTGTATCCAACGGGAAAGAAGATGTGGCTGGGGAGAAAACTTAAACCTATGTGTCAGCAAAACAAACACGCCATGTTTGGGCTGTGTCAGTCAAGTGGTACCAAAGTGGCATTTAGGTTTTGCCCAAGCGGAGGCTGCAGGGCTGATCTTGTCCTTCTTTGCTTTGTTGGATGGAGTGTCTTGTGCCCGCTCCCACAGAAGAGTTTGTCACAAGTTGTGGAAGAGCTGCAGTGGCTGTGATTTACTGCGGCTGTAACTTAGCTCCTCGCTTGAGTGATGGGGAGCCTTGTCCTGGCCAGTGCAACAGGAGTGAGGTAGGAGAAGTGGATGCTGAAGCAACATCCATTTGAGGAAAAGGGCTATTAACTCTAGCAGAACTGGCTCCTCTGAGCTGGAAAAGACTGGGCTCTTGGATTTTTAGAACCCCTTGTCCCATCTCCTATTCGCTATGTTCGCTGGGTTCAGGTTTGCTCTATTAGGATTTGGTTTTGGGTCAGGTTTTGGAACTGACCTACAGATGTGGGGCTTTAAGCTTAAAAAAAAATGATTCAGGACCTTGTAAATTGAGGCCTTAGGCTCTTTGAAAGGAAACAAACAACTCTTATCTGTCCTAATGAGAGTCATACATACATATTTTGTATCCAATTGTATGAATTATCTTTAGCAGTGATACTTTGTAAGACCATGTAATTTATGAGGTGGTTATCAGTGACTCATAACTATTTATTTATGTCTTAAATGCATTGTGTATGTTTGACTTGATCGGGGTGGCATGTTTGCATGGGTGAGCGTGCGTTTTATGTGCAAACACACAGACAAGAAAAGCAAGGCTTTCTCTAAGCAAATCAACTTTGCCTTGTTAATGCCTCTGTAGTAAAATGTGTTTTTGGGGGACCCTGATGATAGATTGGAGGTAATCCAGTGTAGCTGCCCACTGCTTTGAGTAGTTCTCTTGGCTTTGGGGTGCCTCATCTTAAGTATGCTGTCTTGCATTAAGTATGTGCTCCTGTGACGGCTAAAGCGAAGGCAGCCTGTTCTCAGATGTGGCTGTGTTCCAGCCAGCTCCACATCCAAGAGAGTGCAGCAAACCACTTTTGCTTAACCTGTGCTTTGAAATTGTTCAGAAGCTGGTTTGGACTTTAGCACAGTTTGGAGCAACCTTGAGGCTGCCTTTAGGATAGCTGTCAGGGGTCCCCAGTGTTGCTGTAAAAGCTGAGAAACGCAGAACACCATAGCACCCTGGTCACACGTTTTGCATTGAGCCATGCTTCCTATACTGGGAGCTGCTGGGCAGCACTTGGGCAGAGTGAGCCCATCTAAACCTCTGTGCTGAGTGTTTCTTATTAACTATGTGATAGCTACAGATACTTAGGATTTAAGCTGTCTCTGTTTATATTAGCTGCACACCACAGTGGTCAAATCACTATGTTAACAGTGTGTGACAATGAATCAAGCCCTATATTTCATGGGTAGGTTCCCTTACTTTGTTCTTAACCCCCCACCCCATGGCAGTTGTAGACATGTGAATCTTGGAGTACATTGCTTCCAGACCATACTGTCTTGAATGGGGTTACTGCATCAAACAGGGGAAGTAAAGCTTATGTTTAAGTTTTACCCCAAATGAAAGCTTTTTCTGCTCTCTGTGCCACAAATAGATTTTCAATTACAGGAAGCACATGCTGTAAGTGCACCCCAGGATTTGATTCCATGCTTTGTCTGTCAAGCCTGTGAATATGCTAACTCTCACGGTAATCTTCTTTAGCATCACCAGTCTTACTCCAGAGTTACTAGATATAACAACAAAAGGAATGGCAAACCAGTCCATCTGCTGATAACCACCAGCACCCTGTCTCTGTTGGACTTTATTGTGATGATGTTGAACATTAGGACAATTCAGAGGTGCTTTGTGACTTGCTGGGCTTAAAAATCTGTTAGCATTAATGTAGGGCCAAATTCAGTTATTCACACCTGTGCAAAGGAGGTTCAAAATCCTACAAAATTGGAATTCTCAAGTCAATTACAGCCATAAGCAGGCTGCAAGACCGCACAGAGCAAAGCCCATAGTACTTTTGGTGCAATATCAGAGCCTAACTGAAGATGCTGCAATTCCGTGAACTTCCCTTGTTGCACCCATTTGCACCACGTGTGAATTTATCCTGTTGGCTAGTAAAAACCCTTGCTTTAGATCAGTCAGCAGCCAGCCTCTTGGTATTGTGCTCTCTCTGTCTCCATAGCTGGTAATAGCAGCTATTGTTCTTTTCTGCAATATGTTCATGGCATCAGGAATTATTACTCATGTCATAATGCCATTGTGAGCTGTTTGTTTAATAATACAGCATCCGTATCATGTCACTCTAGCAATATCCTTAATTCTTTCTATTCTTAACTTCTGTTTTGAAGTGTTTATACTTTTAATTTAGCTTTTCAAATTCTCACTGGATGTAAGCTGGCACAAGGGGAAAAGGTTCATAAACACAGTTGAAAGAACCTGCCAAATAATTTATTGGTCATGCCTGATCAGAAAAGTGAGAACAAGTGTTATTTGCTTAAAGCTTTTTTTTTTTCTTTTCTTGGCAATAAAGGGTAAAACAGACTTTATCAACACCTAGGAAGGAAAATGCTGGTGCTGCTTTTCTAATCCCTCCTCCACCCCCTACCTGCCACCCCCTCACCGCCCCCCCAGCCCTGGACTACTGAGTGGATTGAAAAGTTAATGGTATCTTTTAATTTGGTAAAGCAGGATACTGAAAAAAAACTTCCCAAACCCATAGCTTGCCTTTCTTGTGTCAAGCAATTTAGTAATTTGTTAGGGTGGTTGTTCTTTTAGGCTGGGATGTATCTGCCTGCTATCTAGAAGTCTTTGAAGCTATTTGTGCATCCCTGGTACCATGCAGAAAATGAACCTCCTTAGGTCTTCCTTTCTGTCCACTGGCATAAGAGAGGAGCAGGATGAAGCAAGTATTTAGGCAGCAGATCTTCTATCAAAGGTATCAGAGTAGAAACTCTTATCCTATAAATAATTTGGGGTCAGGGAACATCTGAAAGCTTCATCGTTGTTGTGTATGTCCTCCTCTTTTTTCCTATTCCCCCCCCCCCCGTCTGATCAGCTCAGCTTCTGTCAATGTCACCCTAGAGCTGTCTTTCCTGAAAACAGAAGAGTTCTGGAACATAAATGTAGATCTATTCTGCTGGGATGTCTACAGTGACCCTTTACTGGGGCTCTGAGTGAATCTTACCATAATTGATAGAAACAGCTTTAAAAGCAAAGCAAAACAGGTCATGAAGAAAAGAAAGAGCTGATAAAGCTTCCAGCATCAAGAGTGTGCATGTTGAAACACTCTCTAATTATATATTTATCCAATCCAGTTAATACTACAGAGCTTGCAAAAAAAGCCCCATAATTAGGGGTTATGAAAATGTCTACATAGCAATAATATGGCACCTAAATATAGCATCTTTCCTCCTGGAGCACTTTACATCATTTGAGAACCTCAAATTGACTCAACTCACAGCTGGCATTCACAGGTGCAACCTTATTGATTTCAATGGAATACTGCCATTTTTTAACCAGGTTTAATTTTGTCATAAATGGAAGTTTTAGCTATCCTATGGGCTTGCAGGGCTGCCCATCACAGTAGTATCTGCATATCTTTTACATCAAATCAGCTGGCAATAGCAAAACCTTTAGCAGACTTTTGGAGTCTCTGCCACATCTGCCTTTTCATGCTGCAGAAGTATTTGCTTAGCCTAAACTCATTTGTACTGTGTATTTTGGGGACAGAGAGAGAAGACCAGCTGATGGTGGCAAAGTTGTGGCTGTGGGTTTTGTTTGCCATTTTTGCTAGAAGCTGATTTCACAGCTGTAATTTCTGGATTGGGAATGTCAGGACTCTGGTATTTGTGTTGCTCTGAGCAAACCTGGAAGCTCAGACATGTGTTCCTAAATGTAGCAGGATGCAAATTACGTATATGTCATGATATCATCATTGATAGGGTAAAAGAATAGCCCCATTCTTTCTCATTCATTCTCTGGGCATAATTTTATAATTGAATTTAAGACTGCTTCATATGACTTTAAAATTTTAAAGTGTACTTTGTCCAAATGGGAATTTGCCTAAGTCACCAGGGCAAAGGCTCAACATTGGAAAGTTCTGCTGGACTCCCCTGTGTCCAAATGGGTCCTGGAGACTTTGTTCTACTTGTCTGCCACTTTGCAGGTTACCTGTAAAACTAAGGACAAACCTTTTAACTACTTTGTACTCCTCTAACATGTGAAAGACAGTGTTTCCAGAGAGTGAAGTGAAAGAATTGTGCCCGGAGCTCAGAAGGAAACAAAAGAGATGGTTTGTACGTCAACCGTACTTGCCACTACCTAGAATTGCACAAAAAGTTATGGACTGCTCACCTTGAATATAGCAGAACTTGGAATACTTTAAGAGAAAGATTAAAATGCTGTGCTGAATGGCTTCCATGTGAGGAACTACCGATTGTACTGAACCTCCTCAGCCTAAGGAAGAGATGTTGGTGGGGTAGGAGTGAATTCTGCAAAGCAGCAGTCAGGTGGTGAGCAGGGATTGTTTGTTCTGTGGCAGTACATCAATTCAGGTCATTAAATGAACTAGGAGAAGCCAGGCCCAAAGCAGAGAAAAGGAGATGTGTGTTCTCCATGCAAGTGGTAGTGGACACAAGGAATTAACTGCCAAAGGTGCCTGTGGAGGCTAAAAGCTTGTTAGGGTTCAAAGGATGACTGGATAAGTTTGTGTAAAGAAATGCATGGAGGATTAGTAAGTAGCTAGAAACCACATCTGCTTAGGAAATACCTTGATCTGAAAACAGCTGGAGGCTAGTAGAAATGTGAGGGAAATAGCATAAGTGGTTGCCTTGCTTCTAC